TTTTTCCTTGAGAATTTCTGGCTTGGGACCCCGAGCAGGTATGATGTAAATTTCCAACGTTTGCTGTTAACCTGCTCCATGATGCATGCAGTTTTTACAGGGGGGAAATAAGTTGTAAGTGGGGGTAGGTGGGGGGTTTGGGTGGGTGGTGGGGGTTTGGGCGGGTGTGGGGTGTGGGGGGATTTGGGGTGGTTTTGTATATTACTTTTTTGCGCGGAGGGTAGATTTTGTGGGGGAGGGGAGGGTTGTTGTCCAAGTTTGCGGGGTTTACTTTGTTTTGTCTAGAATGATGATGTTGATGATTTTCAGTGTGCCCTTTACAGCGTTGGTGTCAAATGGATTCTGGTCCATGTTCTACGTTTGCTCTATTGACGAATGAGGTATAGGAATATGTAGTTGATATGGAACCAAGAGGTACCTGACCCATCCATTCGTGCGTCGTGCAAGATGTTGAGGCCGGTCAGTTTCTTGTGGACACTCAATCTTCAAAATGGCAAGACTAGTTGAGGCTATGCGAAGGGCGGCATTGGTATTGCTTGATCTGGTTGATGAAGTCAGTGTCGACAGATACAGTCTTCACATCAATCTGTCGGTGTTGCCAACTTCAAAGTTCTTTCATCCTCGAAACTTCAATATCCGCGCACTCGCATCACACTAAAAGTTCGGTTTTCATGTGGGAAGCGACATATACAGAGATAGAAGATATGAAAAGAATCAATATTGAAGACTATATGATAAGATAATGTAGTGTTCCCCGCCGAACAGACAAACTATAGCCACAGCCCAAACCCAGAAGATGAGAAAGAGGTGCTTCCCATCGCTATCATCCCATAAGTATCCGTACAGCTATATGAATACCCTACCATCCCACAACATCATCGCCTCCCTCCAAGACTCCTAAAACAATTCTTACTCATAAGCTACACCAACAACCCTCCCACCACCATCTACAATTCCATATACCTCCTGAATTCCATCATCCGCATACTGAACGGGATCGGTGCCAGGCACATCAGCCGCGACGACTTGCACTGGGACGACGTCAACAACGGGATCATCCTCAGCTGCATCAGCGATACGAATGGTGACGGACGGAGCAGCAGGAGCAGGAGGGACGCAACGCAAATGCGCCGCACACGTATTGATCCGACGACGATAATCAGACGGATTCTGACAATTATAAATCGTACAAGTATACCCGGCCGGAATATTCGCCGACGTCGACCACCGGCCGTAGCATTGGGAGCTCGGCTGCGCCGCATACAACACAGGCGTTGTCAAGCTGATGCTGACGGTTGCGCCTCTGAGGAGGTGGCTGCGGGGGTCTTGGGGGGTTATGGAAACGAGGACGTCTTGGGGTCGATCAATCCTGGTCATGGCGCCGACGCGGTAGTTGCAGGTGTTGGTCACTCGATTGTTGTGGAAGGTGACGACACCATTGTATTGCCGGCCGACAGCGGTGGTGACTTCAATGGTTTCCATGCGTTGAGCTTGAGTTGTGATTGTGGTGGTGGCTAGCATGGCGAGGGTGACTTTGACAAGGGTGATGGCGAACATGGTTGGCTCCTAAAAAAAATGTTCTGGGTTAGCAAGATGCTGTTGTTGTTAAAAGTTGCCGGAGGGCTGCACGTACCGTGGAATCAAGGAAGTTGCTAGTTGAAAGGGAGATGCGCTTTCTGTTGAGTTTCAAGTTCGAAGGAGGGAGTAAAACCACTGAATGGCCAGTTGTGTGAGCACGATTTTGAGGGCAGCGAGGCACAACCCTCCTTTTTCTATTTCTCTTCACCTTAGGTATGTTTCGCTACATGCATGCCAACTTTATGAGACAACAGCAACCAGTCAGTAAGAATTGATGCATAGGTTGTGACCATGAACCCACCGCCATATTCTCATCTCTTAGGGCTCGCCACCCCCACCACGCAGTAACGTCTTCCCTGAAACCATCCAAATGTTTGGCAAACCGAGGGCACTTTTGCTTCCTGTTAAGGTTTACTTCATACATGGACCGTGGTGTGCTGCCTTCAACAGCGTGGGTGGAATAGTCACGTCAGTCGGGACAGTGACCTCCATCGACCGTTCCAACTCTCATTGTTTCACGTAACACCCCAAGAACCGCATTCCACAGAGCCTTTCACTCCTTTCGTTTAACACCATGAGCACAACCAACCTCCTCAGCGTTCTCACCATGAGCATGACCGTTCAGAAACCTTACAGTGATGTATGCCACCGTAATATAATATGTGACACCATTTGACAACACCGCCGAGAACAGCGAACTCAAGTGAACGCATGACATTTTGCCCGTCAATCTAATGCTCTTCCCAGTACAATTTATAGGTCTTTGATGAATCGCAATGAAAACAGCTGCTGCTTGTAACATGCAATGGCACCCGAACTGATTAGGCATTCATCGCTCATTTCTGAAATTGATACGATCTCTCACAGGGAATGAACCGAATTTGTTGACCAGAATCACGACATCCAATTCCACAAATGAGGCCTGGCGTGCAAGACAGCGATTGATTATCTGTATCTCACAGCAGCAAGGCTCAGTCGGGCAGTCAGTTATTGAGCTGACTGAAGTTGGTAGAGGAATGTGGTTCTTCAATGGGTCGACGAGATGGATTTCGCAAGGGTAGTGGGTGCTGGAGGCTGGGTGTGTCCGGGTTCGCCCCACGCAACTCACCATTCTTTATATTGGTCATGCCCTGGAAGACCCTGATCCGTCTGAATGGGTGCTCTTTTATTGAGGTTGATGTTTCTTCCATATGGTGACGTCGGTTTCTGTTCAAAGTCCCCAGAATTCTATGTGTCCCGGCCTGCTGCCTTATGTGATTCTTTCAGCCGAAGGAAGGTTTGTTTCCTGAACACAATAATCTGAGCACACCAACTACATATGTGCCTAGTTGGTGCGAGGGGACACAGGCAAGAAAGGGGGGAATAAGCAATACTCTCACCCCCATCGGCGCCACGGAACAGTCTCACACTTTCGTTTCCTCATACCTATCTTCAACATTCCAACTTCCTATTTACGCGCGAAACATGCTCTACTATGGTGGACTCGCCTCCCGCTATCAGCACCTCCGCACAGCGACGGCGGAGCGGGGAGACCGGTTGATGCCTCCCTTCCATTATGATGGCCCCAGACGAAAAGCAAGGGGATGGCAAATAACGTTTTTTGACGGGTCTGGTTATTCCAGTTCCTTTGCGCCCAGAAGTCATGATTATGAACCCCCTGTGTAAGCCTCTATCCAGCTATCCTGGAATTGAATCCAAAAGCGACAAGGTAACACCGTCAATGTCTCTGTAGGGTGCTTCAAATAGATCGTTGAGAGATTGTTTTGAGGTACCAAGCGGGGATCAGGATATCATCTATAGCAATAATGAATACTAATGAGCTTTTCGCGTCTCTGTTCTCAAATGAAGCCCGACGAGGCAAAATACCCTTACCACTATGCAGCGTTTACGAACGATCACCAAACGCCGAGACGTCTACTCAACGCAGATACCTACCTGAAAGACACGTAGGACGACAAATATCGCACCCCGCTGTTCTGTGCCGTTCTCGCCGGTCATCTCGAAGCCACAACCGTTCTCCTCGATGAACTGAAGTGTGATGTGCAGCGAAGTGGTCGGGATGGTATATGGCCCCTGCACGTGGCGGCTTATGTAGGCTTCTTTGAGGGGATGAAGGCGGTTCTGCTTGCGTTGAGTAAATGCGGGTCATGAAAAGCGAACGAACGCGGATGGAAATGATAGAAGCGGGGACTGTTGGGACAAAGGGCGAGGATGGAGCAGCGGGGTCGACGAAAGGGAAGAATCGTTGCCGGGGGAAGAGTTGGAAGGCGAAATGGGGAGGAAGGAGCGAGAGCGGCAATGGTGTCAGGAAACCAAACGCATACATGAGGAGGTAGAGGAGCGGGAATGGCGAAAACAACCGGCGGGGACGACGTCGCAGACGTCGCAGGGACATGCAAAGGATGGGGAAAGGAATGACCAACTTGTAAGGACACGTTCGCACCAGGGAGGGGACAAGAAGAATAAGAAGAAGAAGACAGGTTGGGAAAGTGGCTGAAGAGAATATTTGTACGTTGATTGCGTTTGTTGTTTGGGACAACACTGCGAACGTTGGAAGGAATGCGCATCATAGCCCGTTTCTTTTCTACGCTGTACATACTCACGAATGGTGAAGGCTGGCCGTCAATGAAACATTGTAATCAAACATGCTGAACATGAAAGACTGGGAATACATCCGTCTGAAAGTTTTTAGGCAATTGATGTGTTCTGTGTTTGCTATCACTGCAACTTGATTCGTAGATTCCATGTGGGTCGCAACATTTTCAGAGCATCACCAGAACTCAAACTCCGTACCTCCTAGGATACGGACTTCTCCTAAACAAGAATTACAAAGCTATGATAGTTTCCCACATTTCGCCGAGTTGGTTTGAGGCGTTCAACTTCAAGGGCCCGACCAAAGTAGGCGAACCAGCTACCAATTGCACAATTACTTTTTGGCACATGGCCGCCTACTCATTATGGTATCTTTATGAAATTGTAGGCCTTAATCACAACAAGCACATTTGGCCAAGTTGGTCTAAGGCGTTCAACTCGAGCATCGAAAGGCCTGATGATTGTAGCAGCACCGAATACATTACCGTACATGACTGTAGTTAACATATGTGTATTATTTGCTGGCCAATGAACACAACAAGCACATTTGGCCGAGTCAGTCTAAGGCCTTCAACTTCATAGGTTGTGAGGTGATGAAAGTTCCATACTCTTGGTAACAATCTCAAGCCCCCTCAATGACCGGCCGCCTGTTGCTCAAAATCATGTCGTTTACAATTCGGCAATGTACAAAAAGCACTTTTGGCGGAGTTGGTCGAAGGCGTTGAACTTGAAAGTGGAAAGGACTGAAAATTTTAGCCGCACCGAATACATTACGGTACATGACTGTCGCTCACATAATTGCATTACCCATTGGCAAAGCAACAAAATAAGCACATTTGGCCGAGTTGGTCTAAGGCGTTCGACTCAAGTTCGAATCTCGAAAGAGGCGTGAGTTCGAATCTCACAGTGTGCACTAAGGCTTGTCTGGGTCACCTCATTGTTGCCCCCTTTGTCCTTGTTACTATCCATACCAGCCCATTGGGTGATTTTGCAGCATGCTAAAACTGTGGGAAGGGCAGAGCAAATTCATCGGTAGGAGCTCTTCGTCGCTGAAGCCATCCATATTCCTCCCCTTCTTTTTGAGTTTTTTGGGTTTTTTGCCAGTGGATCACTCAACCCGCATAGTTTGCTGGAGACAAGAAAACGATTTCTTCCCTCCGACAACCACATACTCGAAAAGCTCAAAAAAATTACTTCAATCGAACTCTGTTGTCCCAGCCATGCCATACACGGAAACAAAGCATACAGAGGACGATATCAACATCCTAAAGTACGACCCGACCTAAAACCCACTAACTTGCCAACTACTAGAGAGAATGGAAAGTGTTACATATCTAAAAACGAAACTCGGGGACCGGCCCCGAGCCATACGGCAAAGATGCGAGAGAGATGCGTGCGGCACTCTACAAGCATTGAGAGTACCAGGTGTTGGAGAACTTGCAGGTGGAGCCGGAGACGCAGCAAGTTGGGCCGGTGTATCCTGTGGATTAAGGAAAAAGAAATGCTCAGCATAAGAATGCGCGCGATGAATTGCGAAGATAAGTAGTCATGCAACATTACCTTGACCGCCGCATTGACCCCACTTGGCAGCGCAGTTGGTGCCGCCACCGCTGGAGGTAGTCCTTGTGGTGGTGGTGGTCCTGGTGGTGGTGGTAATGGGACGGGTGGTGGTAGTGATGGGGCGGGTGGTGGTGGTGATGGGGCGGGTGGTGGTGGTGATGGGGCGGGCAGTAGTGGAAGTGACACCCCTGGTGGTGGTGGTAGGGTTGGAGCCGCCACCGGTGCCAGAGTAAGTGGAACCAATCTCTCCCCATTTGATGTTGAAGTACTTGACGGAGCTGTTGGGAGCGTTGGCCTCGACGTCGGTGGGCTTACCGGAGGAGGTAGCGCAAGTACCACGGCCGACACCGGGGGTGGAGGCGTCCTTGTCGGTGGGGAAGGTAGAGTCGAGCCAGAGCATGCTTACGGCGTGGTCGTCCCAGACGGAGAGAACGAGGACCATACCGCGGCCGAGGGCATCACCCATGGCCTTGAGACCACCCTTTTGTTGGAAGGAGTTGGTGTCGCCGAAGACGGTCTTTTGAGCCGTGCAGAAGGCGGTGGTGATGGAGTTGCCCTCGATACCAGCGATGGTGGATTGGGAGTTGTCGTGGACGACGCCGTTTTGGACGTAGAGGCGCTTGATTTCAGTGAGGTCGCCCGAGTCGGTGCCGTCGGAGGTGATGAATTGGGTCACGACGGTGAAGGGCTTGGTGGTGTCGATGGTCTTGCCGGGGCCGTAGAAGGAGGTGTCACCCATACTGTTGGTGAAAAAGGGATGTTGAGCATTGGAGAATCTCAATCACAGAGTTGGTTGCTTCGATTAGCCAAAACATACCGGTAAGAGTTGAAGTCACAACCGTCCTTGTCACAGACACCACCGTAGCGGTTGTCACCATCACCACAGTCAGTGCCAGAGCACCTGCTGGGCCCAGTGAGAGAGCAAGGGTGAGGAGTGTAGGCAGCAGATACCGAGTTGGCCTCCCAGATATCCATCTCATGACAGCAAGCACCGTACTGCCCAGTACCGGCATTCTTGTCATTGTCACTCGGGGCCCATCCGCTGACGTTGGCCTCGCCGTTGATGAACTTAATGTCGTGCGGGCACTGCGAGTCACAGTAACCGGTACCATACTTGGCACCAGCGGCGTTGCCAGAGTACTTGGACTTGCCACCGTCCGAGAGCATTTCGGAGAGGTAGAGGGCGCCGTTAAGACCGCAGGGGAGGTTGGAGACGTCGACGTCAAAGGTAAATTCCTTGTTCTTCAACTTGAGCATCATGTAGGTGCTGTCGTTTTGCATAAGGTAGAGACGGGAGCCGATGTTGACAGAGTAGGGGCCGTTGGTGACGAACTTGAGGTTCAAGGCAGTGCCGGAAGTGGTGACACCTGATTGGATGTGATGTTGTATTTAGTGGGGGGTTCGCTGGGATAGTTTTCAGCAAAGTTAGCGGACGTACCGTAGGTGCCAGAGTAGTCAGCACCATCGAGAGCACAGTTCTTAGCGCAGGTGACGGGGTCGGGGCAGGCAGCTGGAGATGTGCAGATCAATCAGCCAAATTGGTTCCAATCAGTGCAAATGATGACGTATGATACTCACTGGCGTCCCAGGTGTTGCCAGTGTAGCAGTTGGTGCTACCGCTGGTCTGATGGAGCCTGTGATTTCCGTAGAAGAGATGTTGATCAGTATCCGTGCAATAACATCTTCCCTGGTCAGGAGATTCCGCAATACGCACCAACGCCAGTTAGCATCCAAGGTAACAGACAAGTTCTGGGTCGTGCATCCGCCGCTCTTGGTGCAGGTAGCGACTTGGAGAGGCGGGTGGGTCTCAGTAGTGAGGGTGCCGACTTGCTGAGCAAGGACGGAGGAGAAAGTCGCAGCAGCGGCGGTCAATGCAAAAAGGCGGGTGAGCATGGTTGCGTTTTCGGATGGGATAGATTTGTGTGTTTCTGGTTGAGACCGTATCGGAGTTGTTTTTTGTCTATACCAAAGGATGAGCGACCTGCGCTATTACTTGGATTTCAGAGGGGGTGGGTGGTTGCAGGCTTTGGGTATGGGACGAAGGATTGTGAGGGAGAGTGCGTCGAAAGTGTGGTATTTATATGCACCTTACTTGGGACTCTGACAAACCCCCGTTCCAGATTGAATGCACTTCTTTTCGGAGGTGAGTCCAAGCACAACCACTAAAAGTGTGGAGAAGGTTGTCTCAATCACATCAAAGAAGAGAAGTGTAGCCAACGGCTTTTTAGAAAGGAGCAGACATGGGTTGCATAAAGTGGGGGACGGGTCCCGTCACATGTGGAGAGGCACACGCCGACGTCAAGGACAACGTGCTAGAAGCGCAGACACATCCACTTGTTGATTCGATGAGAAATGCGGTCATTTGCATGACAGAGGATTGCGTTTGCGTCTGCGGAGGGCGGCTAACTTTGAATGACCCCACTCCGTCATTGCGACTCTTGTCGGTTCCGCAACACGTTTCACTGCTTTCGGGATGTCGAATGAAAAACCCATGCCCCGAGATAGCCACAAGAATGTAATGACAGCGAAAGCTTGGCGTGTGAGATACAAGGCACCAGTAAACGGAAAGTGAAGAACAAATGGAGATTCCACAGTGAAGCGGGGATCATCATGCGCACCCCCATCTCATTCGTTCAGCCTGGATTGTGAGCTCCAAAAGCATGACGGCTGTCTTGCTGTTGTACTCGTTGTTGTGCAATTGCATTTCTCGAAAAAGCTCGAAAAGTGGCTGGCCGTGGGCCAGTGGTTGATCGCTCATACGAACATCCCGTGAGCGGGTTGGGGTTACCGCATTGGTCTGGCACACCGTTGGGATTGTACTGCTGTCTACGAAGAAGGGCCTGGACTCTAGACTGATCAAGCAATCCCAAACAGTCGGCCGCCAGCCCGACGTTTTGCATTTCGTACGTGGATCAGCGTGGTTTACCCCACTCCTATGCAACGATGAATCACCAAGACGCGTGCCTCAGGGCAACCTCCGCCTTAGCGCTTAGCGTACACCAAGTTGACTTCCTTCCATGCCACAACGCGAGGGTTCTTGCAATTCGAACAACCGGAGCCTAAAGGGGCCTTCCATAATTGGGATATTCAGCCTTTGCCTCCCGGCATTTAGGTTCCCTCCGTCCACACCCCTTCTATGCTTCATCTGCAGTTCCAGAGTGGCCAGCCTCACAGGAATTCGGGAAGGTTCCAACTTCCACGTCGTGCCAACAGAGTTCCGCCTTGCCCACCAATTGTTGTGCGCCCAATGCGGGTCATTTATTCATGTCGGTCAGCCGGCCAAACATGACCTCCTTGTGCATGACTTGCATTGCCACCCATGCGGAGGATTTGAAGGTGATGGCAGTACTGACTCGGCATTGTGCTACGTAGGAATTTTCCGTTCATTGTGTGGCTACCATAAAATCCCATTTCAGGCAGTTTATACGCCACTCAGGGTTGAACTATGACGCGTCATTCCACATTTCTTCCATTCCAGGCAGGTTTCCCCCTCCGCTAACGGAGGACGGCTCGCCAAGATGGCGGCAGAACGACGCGTTTCAGTGCAACACTACAACAAAGGCGGGTGATTCCCTTCCATCCCATATTTGTCATCCTTCTTCGCTGTGTCAACAGTCGCCTTTCGCCATGGAACGGTGTCTCATCAAATGCGAGTCAATATCCAGAGCTCTTCGAGGTGATGCTTGTCAATGACCGGCATTCCCGGACACAATGTCCTAGGCATAAGCAACTTAGATCACCCCAGCAAGGGCTGACGCTTTTCTACAGATGATGCTTCTCTCTATTTCGGGTACTTATACGCAGTGAGGAGAACTAAAAGATGTACCAGCAGTCAGATGTACTGTTGCAAGTTGGCAGAAACCGGAAGATGTGTAAGGCACTGTTGGGTACCGAGAAAGTTTCAGCACCCGGTATCGTTCGTGGCTCAACGATCACCTTGTTTGAAGCCAAGATTTGCGGATGTTCAAGGACACAAGAGTGTTGAGTTGCTGACTATGGTCCAGAACACTCTAACGCAACATAAATGGCCCGTTTTTAAGAACAAAGGGCATGTTCTCATGGCTCTACATACCTTGGGAGGTTGAAGACGGAAAATATGAATGATTGCAAGCGATTCCCCTGACCAGCTGCAATTCATGTTCCGGGTTACAGCTTGAGATGCATTTTCTTTTCTGTTCAATGAGACACTGTTTACCATCAACGACACCTTCAGACATTCACAGTAAGTTGGGCAGATGCCCGACTGCAATCATACAACATAGGTCGAGACATGCCCAACGACCGCGCTCGATCTCTTGTCAATCCCCATCGACGTTCCACTTGATATGCGGACCAAGGAGTCGTGATTTTATC